TTTTTGATAGTATACATTCCAGTATTTCACTGTATTGTCAATTATTTTTATTACACTAACCTACTAAATTACAAGAGTCCATAAATTAATATAATGTGATATGTGTACGTTATAGTTATATTTTCTGTTTATACCTACTTCCGATCTTAAGTTTAATATTATTTAAATATTTTGAATTCCTCAATTTGACTCTCAATTCACACTACCTATTTATTATGTTTTATCCTTGTTTGTTTGTTTCATGGTATAATATGCATTTGGTTACAAGTTACAACTACTAATTAGGTAGGTGAGTTTTGTTTAATTTTGTTTTGAATTTGAACTATTTGTTGAACATATTATTTAAAATATTTTCCTTGGCCACATCTCGAGTGTATTCTCCCCTATAACAATATAACCGAGTGGCGAATACAGAATGGATCTAGTGTACGCGCGACGTGTAGTATTGTTGTTATGCAACAAGTGTACGTGTAAAATAATAATAATAGTAGTGAGTATTGTGTAAGTTTACTGCGGGCTACAGCGGTCGGCGGGCAGAGATAAAGCAAAACATCATGTGGAGGTGGAGAAAGGAGGGGGGTGGACGTGGAGAGTAAAGATTAAAAGTACCTTGGGAAGGGGTGAGGGGGCGTATAACTGTATTACCGAGAGATACATACGAAGGGTAACGCCGACAGCATTGTCACGGGCAGCCGGATGGGTGACTGCGCGACGGCGGCCGGCTGTAGCGTGGCCAAATGAAAAGTGGCCGGGGCCGGGGCGACGGTAGGTGGCTGCAGATGGTGGTGGTGTTTGACAAGATCAACGGGATTTCCCCCGTCCAGGGACCGGCTGCGTGGCTTGTTGACGGCCGGCACCGTCGTGGACGGATCCTGTTGCTGGCTGAACATCCATCGGAAGTACCACGACATCGCCCGGGCATATTGCGCCGGTATGCGCACACCATACACGGTGACAGACACACTGTGCAGCGAATACGGATGATACAATTACAGGTGACGCGAACAACGAATACGAAGCAGCACCGCGACGATGGAGCGACGGACGGCGGACTGACGACTTCGGTGTGTGGAGTGCGGACAACATACTACATACATCGTGTTGTACCTGGGCAACGCGGACGGCCGCGGACGGCGGAGAGGACCACCACCGCCGGTCACCGCACGACCATGGAGGATGGATGGAACGCACCATGGACGCGATACTGATTTTCAAGGAAGGGAACCGGTTTTTGGTGTTTGCGCGAACGAGTGAGCGAGCGCATTAATTACTCTCGTATGGAAAATATAGACGCGAGAAAAACAAAAGTAATAATATCATCGAATATTATAATAATGATAATAATAATGATGATGAGGATAATAAGAACAGAATGGTGGGGAGTATCTCTTTAGACTATTATAATAGTATAATACCAGTACGAAAATATGTTTGCAGTGCACTGGAACTCGCGGGTCTGCCATAGCCGACAACAAAATCCTTGGTGGAGGGGACATGATATATAATAATAATAACATTTACCTGCAATTAGTCGTGTTGTTTAATGTTTACAAGGTCTTTCGTGACACTTTCACTTAACACCAGTCACAACTCACTACTCCCACCAAGGAACCAACCAGAACGTCACTTCTACAGCGTGATGTTGCCTACCGAGGGTCGTTTTCGAGATTACCTACTTCAAATGTTTTCCAAACACAAATCACTATGTACGTGATAATGTATTAAAATATTATTAATATCTACTATTAGTCTGAACTTTACGGACTCCACGCTAATTGACTGCAACTTAATTTGTCATAAAAATACACGATATGGTGAATGGACTTCTATTGTTCCGGTAGACAATTTCATAAATTGGGTCAGTGGGCTCACACAAAAAACTAGTTATTATATCATAGGTTCACCTCTCCACCAAACCTCTACTACTACTACTACTACTACTACCTCTACTACTTCACTCGTTAATTTCCAATGGATTACAATTGTAAAAAAGCGTTCTACATCTACGTGATCTGCAGCAAACGTATAACAATGATTTACATTATTATAACCACAAAACGTACAAATACACTCATGTAATCAAACATTTCAAAAATATAGTCACGTAGATAATATCTTGTCATGTAGACTCATATTATTATGGTTTTCGACATTTAGTTTACATACTATAATTTTTTATAACACAAACAAAACTACTTTGATAATAAAAAAAATCATTTAAAGTGTTATTTTTGTTAAAAAAAAATATTTATAGAAGACCTCTTCTACCTACTATATGAGTAAACAATTATTTTACATGTCTATTATATATAAACAAATAGGTAAACGTTTCAACTACTTGTAGTAGATACACATGGTTTTGTTCTTCATTAGCTATTAGCTATATAGCAAAAATCAAAAACCTAAAAATCAAAACACTGTACATAAAGTAAGATTCCTGTGTAGTGTGAATACATTTATATTTTACTTCCAATATTTTACCAGAAACACAATACAATTAATGTCTATTAAATATTAATAGCTGACTTGTTGAGTTGTGGCTAAATTTATATAGAAAATAATGTATTTTTTATAAAGTCTAATGTTTCATAATAATTATTATAGATTACCCAACCAGGTCCAAATATCCGATTAATACCATTGGATGACTGATAATTAGACACACGCTCAGCTTTCAATAACATTTCTATATTATAACACCAGAGTGCCAAGTAATCATTGATACCAACAGAACAAAACTAACTTGCTCGTGGAAGGCTTACAACGAGAAATATTTAATTAGGCACCTAGTTGTAATACTGTAATTGTAACGATATTCTCTTACATTGAGATGCACCAGAAGCTAGTAAATTATCAACTAGTTTTTACTTTTTAGCGATAAAAAATGAGTACATTTCTTTAACAAATATATTAATTATGTTTAATAGGTTTAAGCTTGAACATATTTTGAAAATAAATATTATATATTATTTAGTATTTAAATTTAACTAACATTTAAAAGTATTTGGAAAAATAAGATAGCTGCTTACTTATTATAGCAGATATATAATGTATATTTTCAATTAAATGGTTTAATTATTGAAATGTTATTTTATTACTTTATTAATTAATCGTTAGTGAGTATAATTTTGTAGCTATTATTATTTGTAAATTTATAATTTATATACCTACTAAAAAAATAAAAATTTAATTTAGATTTAATTTGAGAAGTGTTAGTTATCATTAGAACTATATAGGTACAATTAATAGTTTATTATTTTTTTTCCGTTTCTAGCAATGTTTTATTTCAGGGCTCAAAACCGGTAACCGGTTTGTAACAAAAACCAATAATTTGAGAACCGAAAACCGATAACTGCTTTTATTTTAGTAAGGTGGAAGTGCTTATTAGTTACTGGTAATCAAGATAATTATCCAAGTATTAATATTAAAGCGGTTACCTTTTATTTTCAAACCAGGTTTTATACCAAAACCAATTCCCGACCAAAATAATTAACGGTTTTTAGTATCTGTATTAATTAATATTTATATATATTTAATATTTATTTATTTATATATATATATATATATTTAAATTTTAATTAATTAATTGTCCAACTGTCTTACATAAAATTATAGCCAAAACAATTTTTAGTAAACTGTTTGCTCTCGGTACTTCTGCAAAAACACCTTTTATATTTTACAATATCTGAGACAATATTATAATTTATAGAGTATATATATGGAATTTTAAGTTCTATAAAATCCCAACTATGGTAATAAATATATGGACTCAAGTAGATATAGTTTTCTAAAACTGGTTTTAATCGTTAACCTATTCCCAAAAAAGCGAATTAACAGTTATTAACGATTAACGGTAATCCATTGTGTTTAAAATATTTTTGAAAAATCGATTACTGGTTATCATAATATCAGTATAAAGCGATAACCGGTTACCAGTTTCAAAACTTTTCATATTATGCCTATTACTGTTTTTTTTTTTTTTTTTTGGAAGCGATTCTAAGCCGTTTTATTTAATATTGCTTTATTATCTAATGAAATATATTTTTTGATACTTAGTACCAATATGTTTTATCAAGTTGTTTATATACATAAATACTAGTAATATCAACATTTAACATGCACTGTTATATTATGTTATGCTCATAAGCGTACGCACAGGGTGGACCAGGTGGGCCGTGGCCCTCCCTGTGAGCTGTAACATACTTATTATATAGATGGCAACTTAGATAATATACATAGTTGTATTGCCTTATTCTGTGGTATAAGCATTCTGATTTTTGATTTTTTTATATCAACAAAATTAACAAGATTCTCTTAAATCTATAAAATATGCTAACAAAAAATGGTTCTATTTAATCGAGGGTAAGGTAAATCGTGGGCATATATCACAACCACTCAATTTGGACTTAAGGAAAATAATATGCAAATGCATATAAATCCCAGCCCTACTTGTGAATAAAAATATATACATTATTATACCTTAAAATTTAAACAGTTGGTTATGACCGGTGAATAAATAAATGTAATTTTATAGATAACAGTGTTTAAAATAATTTGTTTCAAGTATCATTGGCCCACTCTGCCACAACAGGCTGAGCACGCCTATGGTTATGCTTATGATATTAATCACCATGATGTGGACCAGTATCTATCTACATTATGATAAACATTATATCATTGTCAGAAAATATTCACCACATAGGAAATATCCTAGACATATTCAAATAAATTGATTTTTTTTCTTCTTTGTACAACTACATAACAAATTGTTTAACTTCTTAAATTTTTTACTAATTTATATTTCTTTTTTAAACATTTTAGAGTTTTTAAAAAATTTTTATATAATGCCTGTTTAATGCCTGTCTATCACCATTAATAATATCAAAGTATTAATAGTAACATAATCATAATAGTATACTAACATATTTAAAATCTAATGAATAGAGACCTAAGAATTAGTTATTTCTAATATACATTAGGTAATCAATTATAGAACTTACAGCTTTACGTTTGTCTTCCGCAGAAACAGCACTTTGAGATCTATGTCTAAATAAATCCATCATTTTAGAAACAGCTCCTTTAGTACTACCACTATCTGATCCAGCCCGTGGTCTAGCAGCTACTGCAGTTTGCTTATAACGATTTCGAGTTGGAGGTGGTACCAAATTATTGAATTCAACAGTATCACTAGATATATTTGATCCACTAATACTATTTCGAGCACTTGAACCAGGTGATTTAAGAGTTTGCTGTAAACAATAATGTATGAGTTAGGTATTATATATCTAAATAAGAAAAGGGATTTTTTTATAACAAATTATTAAGTATATTATAGGTAATTTAGGAATACAATTTTAATTATTTACAGGGAAGTAAAATAATGAGTTTAAGATAAACAAATAACCAAATTATCATTTACAATTTCAAACCCACATTATTAGTTTATCTTCTTATAAGATAAGATACTAATGTGTACTTAATAATTAATATCAATAGATGAACAAAACTGAATTGTAAAATGTAACAACAATATAAAATATTGTATATATAATATTATGTATTTAGTATACAATATACACAATGATGTTTAATGATTTAATTTACAAACACTCAACCTTCGATATGCAAAAAAAAAAAATTGTTTGAGTAGAGTGAAGAATGTATTGAACAATATTTTTTTTCATTATTATTATTGGTATAACATTTATGTAGGTAGATGGAGTGTACCAAAAGTCTTATATAACACCATAAAATAATGTATATGATACTATAAAAAAGGGACAGGTTCGATTTTTATTTTACCAATAACAGAACTATTTAATTATTTTGAAAAAAAATCTAAAAGTGTGGATAAACACTAGTTACACTAGAAATTGTTGATGTTTCATGATTGTTTTTAATATATTAAATCTCTGAAATTAGAAGAGCGAAATCAAGAGGCAGATATCACGCTGTATCTTTATATTCTTTCTGTGTACTTCTGTCTTTTTTAAAATATAATATCACAAAATAAATTAATATATTAATATAGTAATATCAAACTGTTATTAAAAAGATAGTAATTATAGTCTGCAACATGGAAAGTGGCCCCTGAGTACTCCACCAGATAGCCCTGGGTTCTCAACCTATAACATGTATTATTGTAGACAGCGCAGTGCCACACATATTGTAGACCACTGAGGTGAGACGACCACTAGATTCGTGAAAGTCAGTGGCCACTTTTCAAGTAGCTGACTATATTTAAATAAATATATTAATAAATAGAACAAATTAATACAATACTAACTTGAATAGAGTTTTTCATTTGTAATATGATTGTGTTGTTCTTTTTAGATGCTGCATCAGATTTTGATCTAGGTCTAAAAGCTTCTAAAAGAGTATTTGTTTTGCGAGTATGTGAAGGAGATTGTCCAGAACGAGGTTTTGGTGACATCTTCTTTTGGGTAGTTTGAGATTGCTGGACTTGTTGTGATTGCAATTGTTGAGTTTTACTTTTTGATGGTTGTATTTTTGGAGTACCTTTAGCTAAAATATCATCTCCAGATTGACGTCTTTCCACACCAACTGATCCTTTTTTAGTTTTAACCAGAGCAGGGACCACTGCAGGCAGCAGTACAGGAGCAGAACCTCCTTTACTCCAGGTACCTAATACAAAAGCTTTTAATCCTCATATTTTACCTTTTATTAAAATTAAACTAGCATATTTAATTAATTATTTAATAGAAACACCAATATTATTTATATCATTAAAATCTTAAAATAATAGTTGTCTACTCTCAAGAATATGAAATCAAATTAAAGTAGAAACAAATTTTGAAAAATGTAACTGTTGTACAATTACCTGAAAAATCATGAGCAGATATTTCAAACATCGTCAATAATGAATTTAATTTTAAATCAATACTCAAAATACAATGTTTTTCTCAGTTTATACATAAAAATCGTAAAAAAAACAACAGAAAAATATTGGATATACTTTGATAAACTGTATACTATGCAGGTAAACACTAAAAGTAGACATTTCATTTTCTTGTTAGCCCTGACTTAATATTGAAATAATTGTTTATTTTTTCCATAATTGGAAATGACAAATAAAATGAGATAATGATAACTTTAAATGGATTAATAAGATATGAACTAATAATAAAGATTAATATTTATTATGATTTTAATAAAATCAACATAAAATTTAAATTAATTAGCAGCTCAATATAACTGTCAGTTTCACTTATGATTTCTCATAAGTGCATTCAACCGAATTTCAAATTTTAAAAATCCACATAAGTATTAAATTTAACAATTTACTAAAGTGAAATAAATATATTTTACCAGATCTCGGACGATTGATTGATACACACTGACCATCTGAATCATCTGCTGTAGTTGGTAAAGGTTGTGATCCAAGTTCCTAAAACAAAAATCAATTCATACAAAAAATTAATATTATGGGTAACTATACCAATATTTATCAGCGTATCAGTGTTTAGTTTCAAAACTAAGATTAATGGGGGAAGCTATGACTAATAGGGTCTAATATGTCACCAGACTTTTAAATATATTATATAATCATTTACATGTAATGAAACTTTTAAGTAACATGAAATTATATTATGATACTATAATTTGAAGGAAAATAATAAAAGCAATAGTCTAGTCAAAGAAATATACTTTATTTAAACTTAAAATATATATATATATATATTACAATAGCAAAAAAAAATGTTGTTAACTTAGAAAAGTTAATGAATGCATAAAAATATAAAACATAATAGGTACCTAAGTTACTTTATGTAACAGGTTTTAAAGCCAATTAAGTAATCTTTATAAATGTCATTAGTTTAATTTTTTTCAGATATGTAGATTAAAAATATATATATTTATAAGTTTATAACTAGGTATTTATCATTAGTTTATTTAATACTATTATGATTTCTTTATCGATGGATAAAACTCCATATACAAAACAATATCTTTATAAAATATAAAATGTATAGCATATAAAATTAAAATAAAAACTATAGATTACACAAATGATACTAAATTTACTCTCCAAAAAATATAAATATAACAAAACAAACCTGTTGTACATACATTTATAACCCTAATTAACTATTTCCTATTTCCATCAGTATATTTGCAGGTGATAATCATAAATAAGTCTTAGAACAATTATAAATTTAAAAAAAATTCTAGTAAATTTATTAATATTTATTCAAAAATTGAATTGTTTCAGTACAATTACACAGGGAAATTTTAAGAGTTTTATTTGCAAAAATACATAATGAAAATAACTTATCATTCTCTTTAATGATTCTAAATTAAAATATGATAATACACCATCATAATCAGAATGCAATGGGCATTGGACATCCATATAAAAATTGCAAGATGAAAATAGAGAAAACAATTTTTAACTCATTCCTAATGTTGAGTTATACAAAAGTATATCAGGGTACCAATAAGAGACCCATGCTCTATTTGAGATCGGAAATGCAAAATATACATTTTATCAAAGCAATGAAATTATTACAATTTTAACAACGACCTACCTACGTAAAATGAAACCTATATATTAGATTTTAAAGATTTTATTTGTGATTCTGTCAAAATTAATGTTGAAACATAAGTTTAGAGTCAAAGTAATTGCTTAGGTCAATAAATGATTTTAGTGAATCAAACATTATAAATATTATAATCAAACCAATACCTACAGATATTCAATATTAATTCTAAACATTTTGCATTTGTTGTATTAAGGATATACATTAAGTAATAACACCAATTATCAAATTATTTAAAATCTTCCCGTGATACATCTCATTAAATTTAATTCTATTTTTATCAAATAATTTTAAGTCATTGGCAAACAATAAAATATTGGAGCGCATTATAACTGATTGAATAATATTTATAAATATTAAAATCAATGTTGGTGAAAGATGGTTGTAATAAAAGAATTAATATTTGATAGACTCCATAAAAATGTTTTAGTTGTAGGTAAAATCTGGATTCTATTCGTTAAAAGGAGGTAACCCATGATAATAATGGATCACAAAACCCATACTTTTTATAATTTAATATAAACATTTAATAATATAATAAGTAACAACCATTTTTTTTGAAATCAGTGAAAATAGTTTCAGGAGATCTAACTGAAAAAGACTCGATAATAATATTGTGCTTTAAAATAGCCCAAATAGCTATAGTAAAACATATTTTATGGAAGCCATGTTTAACACGTTGACTGTGTATCATATTTGCATATTATGCAAAATTATTCATATTATGCTGAAAAAATTGGAGTTTTAAAAAAAAATTTCCTAAAAATTGAAAAATTAAAACATTAGTGTACTATGTAATATTAGTATTATGAAACAATGCTTATAGAAGACGCTGACCAAAAAAAAAAAAAGGTTTAATCGTAACGCTGACCAAATTGTAGTGCATTAATAACAAGGTACACGACGCCAATTGTCGTTTTCAGCATATGCAAACTAGTAAAATGACGCCAATTGGTGTTTTATTCAGCGAATGTGTTAATGTTAGATAGAAAAAACTATTTATTTATTAATTTTGAAAATAGTAGAGAAATCTTTAAAATAAGACATTAGATACAAAAGAACCAATAGAAAATTTTTTTAAATAATTCTAGCAGGACTTAGGTTTTTAAAAAATATGTATAATGTACTACCTGATAGCAAATTAAGAAGAAATAATATTTAATTAAATTTAAAGAAATACTTACATCTCTGATTAAAGAATTAAAATAGTTATATTTATCGCCATAAATGAGAAATTTCTCAAATCATACCAATATTTTAAATTGAATAATAACAAGAAAATATAAAATACTAAATACATACCACTCGACGTTTTGATGTATCTGCATCGTAACGTTTAATCCATACTTCATCCATTGAATCATAATCTAAAGTGGATGTCGAAGATGCCTGAGACTTCATTTCTACCAAATTAACGTCAAAAAAATGTTTATCTCTATGATGTGATAGTGGTGATATTGGAGGTGTTGATTTAGCACTTATGTTAGCACTACTCAGTTGGTCGTCTGTTACTAGTGATTTTAAATTATTTTCAAGATGTTCATCTTCTTCTTTACATTCTGAAAGACGTCTACCGACAAACTGATGACTTCGTGATGGTAAACGATTAACGTGACGCAAGAAATAATGTTGAAACCAATCGGCGTCTTCAGGACTATCTTGAGCTCCTTAAACAAAAATGTTAATTGATAGAAGGTTATTAATAGAAAAAAAACCATAGAAATAGTTAAAACTATACTGTGTTCAAAATGTATTAGTTTGAAGTATCTAATCGGGTAACACAACATAATTTTAATTTAAAAAAGCTCTTCAAAAATATAACTTATACATTTATCAATAATATTTAAATACATCCAGTTTTACAATCTATGAATAAAACAAACTTTTATATTTATTCATTATGTTAATACTAACTTTTCTCAGTTTTGAAAGTGCATACATTTTTATAAAACTATTATGATCAAGTTATACATTATACAACAAAAAAGTAAAACTTTATTTTTTCCCGTTTTTCTTCTTTTTTTTCAATGGCAAATAATACTATGTGTAATGTGTATGTATAACATTTTTTAGTGTAATATATATTTAAAGTTTTCAAAATGTGATGCTTGAAGTCATAGCAAATTTTATTAATATAAAATAAAACAGCCTTTTATTTTTTTTTACCCCTTACCACATTCAGTTAGTGTTTCACATATTGTTTGAGCAATCTATGAATATTATTCCTAACATTCTAATCCTAAATTTTAAGTTAAAACTTTTAATTAAATTCTAGTTTAAGACAAATCATTATTTCTAATGAGATAACCACTAAAATATATATTTATGTAAAACCTTTTAGGTATAGCTAAATATAATAGTTGTCTATATGGTAATAATTTTATTAAGATTTTCTAATCCAAGGCCCCCTCTCATTGGCCCATAGAACCTTGAACCCTACTATCATCTGAATTATATATTCAAACTTGAAATTTCATGAAAAAACTCTTCAATTCTTTATTCTATGATCAATGCCCGAGGCTCAATGGACTGGCCCATAATAAATACATACAAACAAATCAGAAAAATAACTCAGAGCTAGAAATTCTTTTAGAAAGTTTTTGTAGAAAAAACATTTAGACTGTGACCCAAGGTACTGGGTAAAATAATTGTAAAAAAACCTAGAAACTCGTTCTGCTGTATAGTAGATTTGGAAACGCTCATGGTATATATAACTTAAAATTGGTCTAAATATTTTGAAAACAACATTGTGAATAGAAAATAATAATAATATACTTTTTTTTTTTATGAGATAATAATAAGTATTTACAATCTGTAATATTTATATAAAATAATAAGTAAATTTGATAACAAAGAATTTAAAAAACATGAATAGCGTGAGGAGGGAGGCCCACCAGTGTGGATACCCTCCAACTGTGGAGTTTTATTTTATTTTTAATTAGTGCAAGTCGGGATTCAGGAGATCTCGACACCAGTGTCTTTTTAATCGATGTGGTGGGTTATTTGGCATGAATTCACTGGCTAAGTTAGAAATCAAAGGATTTGTGTGGTAAACTGTTTTGGTATGGACATTTTTATAGTAATTTTTAGTTGTTTTAGAGACTGTTTCAATTTTAAGATCTTTATGTAAAGAGAGGTTTGAGACGTACCATGGCGCAGATGTTATTTGGCGAAGGGAAATAGACTGGAAAGCTTGTATAGTCCGTATTTGGGAAGGCTTGGCACATCCCCATATTTGGATGCCATAAGCCCAGATAGGTTTTAACATTGATTATATTGTTGTCAATAGAGAGTTTGGACTTAAGGATAGGCCTTAACAGATGAAGTCTGGTGAAACCAGCCTTTCTTTTAATTTTTAAGTGTGGGCCCCAGGTTAGACGTAAGTATTTGGTTTGAGTTATGGTTTGGATTGGATTGTTTTGAAAAAAGATTGTAGGTAGAACAGCTTTTCTTAAATTAAAAGTAATGTGAAAAGATCTATCAGTATTGATTTTTATTCTCCATTTGATGGACCATTTTGAAATATTATCGAGATGTATTTGGAGGTTTTGGTATGCTGTTGTGGAATCGGAATGGGATGAGAGGATTGCCGTGTCGTCGGCGTAAGAATAATATACTAATGATAAAAAGTTTGAAATGTCTACAATTAATATATTACTTTCTTGATTTTTAATCAAGTGAGTATGGTAATTGAAATGAAAAAAGTCTGAATTTTGAAAACTTGAAGAATTTGTGTTAAATAGGAAAATAATAAAAATGTAACTCAGTAATGATGAGTAATAGGTATAATCACTTCAACTTGAATACGTAAAAACGTCGGCGTGAACAGTCCTAAAATTTCTATTTTTTAATTTTTCTCCTCAACTATAATAGCTAGAAAGTTGGTTGCACTCATTAACTCTTTAAAAAGGGATTATACTAAATATGGAATTAAACTTTTTAAAAAAAAATAATTTAATTTTTCACAGATAAAAAAAGCGTTATTTTTCGATAGATTTTCATTTAGCGAGGTAGATTTCCGAACCTGGGGAACTGATTTTGTTGTTTGGGGTCTTGTTAGATTCACATTGGCTAGGAGAAGTGCAGTGAACATTTTCAGAACTTTATCTTCAATTGTTAATTCTCTACAAAGCTGTAAAACATCAAAAAACGCCCAATAAAATTTGTCTTAATTTTTTTTAATGTTCTGTAGTGAATTAACTATTAAAGATAAAGTTCTTAAAATCTTCAATGCACTACTCCTGACCAATGTGAATCTAACAAGACCCCAAAAAACGAAATCCGATCTCCGGAGATCTATTTCACTAAATGAAAATAAAAATGATTTTTTGCGGGGCTGCTCACATTGAAATTTTCCTGGATTCAAATTATTACACCGTTTGGGTGTGATATCAGGTAATCAATTTCTAAAAATTAAAAATCAAGAATGTTTACACGCTAATCTCTGACTTGGCAAGCGTTTTTTCAATTGAAATAAAATGAGCAAAACTGTAAAACAAAAATTTGGTTGTTTTTTGTTGAATTGAGATCTCTATAAAAACAACTAGTGAGGAGCCTATAGTATTGTATTATATTTTTAATCTCTTTGACAGAGAAAAAAAATGTACCCCTGGCCTTACTGAACTAAAAGTGTGGCTGTCACTACGTTTTAGTGTTTAAAATGTTACACTATTTAATAATGATAAATTGCAAGCAAATGTAAGTTTATTTATGTTTTCCAAAAGTTTAAAAGTTTTTAAGATAAACTCTTACTTACAGTTCTTGTTTTTTGGAAAAATAATGAGATAAAAATTCAAAAAGGATAAATTGATAGCATACAATCATTGATTAAGAATACTATAGATTGATCACTGGACAGTTTTTCTGTGGCACAAAACATTTACCCCCTATAGATGGCGAGGAGAGGTGACTACTAGTGATTACGTTACACGACATAAGTAATTGAGGCGGCTGTGTTATTGGGTGAGGGCTTGTGATGAGTAATGTCGTGTAACGTTTTAATCGCTAGTATATGTAGCAGCTCTCAAATAAGGTATAATAGTATTTAGAAACAACAAACTTTCGACATTTACTAAATTAAATAATAATAAAATATAAATGTTTGGTTTTTATCTAATAAATTAAATATAATAATCATTCTAAAAATAAAAGTACATTCAACATTTGTGTTTGGTAACGCATATCATCATCAGGCATCATGCATTCAACTAAAAACTCTGTTAGCCAATAATAATAAATAACAACACACAACTAAGACAACATTTTACCTATGTTTTTATTAATTGATTAAATTGGTAATAAAATTAAATAACCCAGTCTTCAGTTTTAAATATATAATAGGAAGATAATAGACTATGCACATAGACCTAATAGTTATTATCATTGATCAATTGTATATATTATATATTAGTGTATAATGTATATATACTAAAACAAAACAAGGTAACTATAAATTATATACTACAGATAATTCATATTAAAACCTTACTTTATTATTAATAACTTTTGGTTTAAATTTTTTTTTTTTATTCATGAAATTTAAAACTTGTTTACTTGATAGTTAGGTATCTTAAATAAGTACCTAATATAATTGTAATCGGCAATTGTATTAATTTATACTCAAAAAAATTGTATTAGTGTAACTATTAAAGTAATTATGAATGGTGAAAAAGGAATATTTTCGCTATAACCTCAACAACTCCAATATAAAATGTTGGATTCAAAATTATCTTTTCATGATACTTTTATCATTGGATTTTCAACTTTAAATTGGTATGAAGCATTCATTAATAAAATAATAAATATTAAAATAGTTAAACCATTTCATATAGTTAGGTACCTATTCAAAAATATATGATAAATTAAGTTATATTTGGAATGTTAAATTGAAATATAATAGAATAATTTACGATGGTAAAAATCCAAATGATTAAGAATTTAGAATCATATTATACTCAAATAATAAAGGTAAGTAAATTATTTGTTTTTTTGTAATTCTAAATAAATAAATGTATTTTATTGTAAATATTAAGTTTTATCTTATGACAATATATCATTTAATTAAGAATACATTGAAAAAAAAAATAATAATTTTATAATTAAAAAATTAAAGTTAATTTAATATTAGATTCACTGATTAGTCTATTAGTAATACAAATTATATTAAACAAATACAATTGAATTGAAGACTAATAGACCAAGACCAAAACCAAAACACATGTTTCACATGGACCACAAGTAGGTAATATGATCAGCTGATGATATCTATGTGCAAATTATATTTATTATTTTTACCAAGTATTTCTTTGAGCACTGCCATAGATGATATGGTGTTATAATTAATGGTGTTGTAATTGATGGCAGACACCAGGTCCCCGACTTCGTCATCCTCTTCTTCACCCTCATCGTCCTGTCCAGTGTTGTTACTTTGCTTCCCAGCTGTCGATGACATTTTCACCTTAATTTCCAATACAAAGCATCGAAACACCAGTGAACATTTTGAAGGAACGAATACCAATCAATAAAACAATTGCCCCCACAATACATTCGGTATGGGGATCCCTTTAGAAACGAAACAACACAAGATATTTATATATATAATAACATACAAATTATGTATATATAAAATGTATATTATATTATATACAAACATATACGGTATAATCGTGTGTATTAATTTGTCGTGTTATAGTAATAAAATAATAATAAGTACCTTAGTTTCTTAAAAAACGTGCCGGCCAACCATTATGATCCGAGGCCCTGAAACAAAGGGAGCGAGTGACAGAACACAGTCGAACTGGACGACAGTCGGTGTAGACCGATCATGAACAGATTGTCAACAAATAAATCCTTTGCAACGACGGTTTGCTTTGAGAAAGCCGAAGAATTATTATATTATTTTCCCCTGTGTTTTTGTTTCGCCATATCGATGTGCGTGATGGGGGCGGTAAGAAGCTGCGGACCAGGCCGAAAAGATGGCGCCACCGGCTGCGTTGTTATTGTTCTCGTCAGCGATATGACTTGTTAAAGTATTTCTCGGCATTTTAAAAATAGTAAATACAAAATATATACAAAACACATTTATCGTCTTCCGTCGACACGCACACATGCGATACCACTTAACAGTTAACACCCACCACACTCGATGTTTTTAATGCAATTTTTCTATTTCGTTTTTTTTTTTTATCTTCAACGCATCGCCTGACTGACAGAGTGGTGTGCGAACACGGAGTTGAGAGTTTTACGCGAGCGCAGCTTGTGATTATAAAATATAATTGCTGTAGTCTGTTGGTAGTGCTTACTGCTTACCACGGTTGTGGATCTTATCCGATGGGTCAATTTTACCAACCACTAACCATCGATTATGAATAATATTTTCTTCTCGACCGTCGTCGACCGTCGTTTTCGCGTTTGTATTATTATTTTATTGGCAATTTTCGGCGACTGACTGACACTGACATATTATTATTATTATTATTTTTCGTCGTTGTCGGTTCGTTTCAATCCGTTTCTCGGCGACAAATTTATACATGTATATTACGCGCGTATACATGTATACGGTACGCGAGCGTTGCCGTTACTTTACGCTGAGTTTTGACCGACACCGAGTGAAGTGCTGCCGCCGCTGTTGACCAGCGACGACAACGACGATGCGTTATAGATGAAGCTCGTTTCACTCGCAGACGATCGCCGCCGAAAAAACCTTTTACTCTTCGACCCTCGCGAACGCAGTCAAACGACAGCTATAGATTGGAGCCATCGAAAGTATGCACTGCTGCTATTGCTCCTGCTGCTGCTCCTGCTGCACAATACCATAATACCGACCGACTGAGCAACCGCCCACAGTGATGACTGAATGGAAATCCAGATCGTTACCTAGCAATTTCGAAATACTTTCCCTGTCAAATGTGCCAGTCGGTCCTTCTTGTTTACGTTCCAACTCCAAGAAAACGTACATCAGCCGCAATGTATCTTTTCCGGACGATGAAAGTCAAATTGTCACTGGCGTTCTTGAAACTTTGCATCCTTGGGAATCCAGTAAATAATTTATTTTATCACCTAAATTCCATCCCTAACTTAATGTAGCCTCCGGAACACAGTGTGTAATTAAACTTTTTGTTGTTCTCAGTGGAAAACGTAACTGTAGAGTTACTCACAGCCAAATATAAACAATCATGTGAGAGACACAATACTAATCCATTATACTCGGTCCTCAATCAAATAAAAGCTATAAATACAAATTTGGAGAGGAATGAATGTCTTGATCTAAAAGGTGTTTTACTAACCAATGTTGACTGGGAAAGTCTTGAAGAAATTTTTAAAAGAGTTCAGTTTAAAACTATAAATGTTGAAGCAACTGGATTAAACGATGATGTAAGACTACTTGAATGTTTTAATATTATCCTTTCAATTAAATTGGTTTAAAACCTTATAGGTAGAGGTAGGTACTGTATGCAATTATATAGCCTAGACTTAGAAGTCTGATCTTAACAGTAGAAAGTTCATATCTATAAAATAAGTTTACTATTTAATGTTATTGCATGAACTTGATTAGGTACTTAGAGTTCATTAATAAATTATAGTAACTAGTAGGTTCATTGTACCAATTTATTCTTAATTTTTATTTTGAGAAATTCCTGAGGAAGTACCTAAATACTAATTTTTTTTATAAACTTCCAAATTAATTTAAACAACTTGTACCTAACAAGTCTAAGTAGTAAAAGGAAAAAACAGAACCGTCTTTGCTCGGCTGCCGCACAGAATAATTAAATTATTATTTCAATTTAGTTAATAACTTACTATACATCTTTTATCCCAAGGTCTACCATTTCAACACCTTCCATATCAACAAATAATAAATACCTACCTATTGAATTGTGTAATAGTTCTTACTGATTTTAAATTAATATAGTTTTGATAAGATAAATTGATCTGTTAAAATGTTATATTAATATTTATGTATTATTGTATTGAATTAGTACCTATACCTAATGCTATTTTCATTAATTAAATTTTGATTAACTTATTACTTAAAATCGTTCAATAGTATGCATCTCTTAAATATTATCTATTCTGTGTAAAAAAGTTTCTGAAAATATATTTCATTGAGTACCTACCTACCTACCTATAAATAATAGAACTTCAATAATTATTTAAGAAGACAGATGTCTCATTTTTTTTCTTTTTATACATACCTATATAGTATATATTTGTTTTATTAAGGACACAATAATTTGTTGGATATTAATAATATTTCATTTATAAAGAATGTACTATAAATATATATTTTAATTTTTAGACGGCAATTGCATTGTTTGATATGTTAGACTTTTATGAATCTGCCATTTGTTTAAACATATCTTCTAACAATGATATTGGCACTAGAGGATGGCAAGCATGTGCTCGTACGTTAAAAAAGGTGATTGGTAAATATACATTTAGAAATAAAGGATTTTTGATTGGAATTTGAATTCATTTTCAGTCAAAATGTTTAGAAGAATTAGAAGCAAGGAACACAATACTTAATGAATCAAATATGACTTCTTTGGGTCGTTCATTAAAATTTGGTTCGCAATTATGTGTCTTAAAACTTGAAAATTGTAATCTTGCAGACCGGCCATTAACATCATTAGGTGATTATTTTTAAATACAATATTATATATTATTATATTTATTTAATTATTTTAATTAATTTAAAAATGGTTGAACTCAATCATACCATTTGTAATTATATAAACCTTGAGGCATTATACCATCTATGTTCATTTTTTAAAAATTAATTAAGTAAAAAGAAAAAATATCAAAATTATCTTAATAAACATATTATTGTTTCAGTTTCTTTAATAAAATTAAATAACACACTAAAAGAACTTTACTTGGGTGAAAACTATTTAAATGAAAACGATGCTAAACAGCTTTCAATTTTACTTAAATGTAATACCACATTGCAGTTGTTGGATTTAAGGTAAACATTTATACTTATTTATAAATAACACAATTTGTACTAAAATATATATATATATATACATATCAATACCTAATTGATCAATATTACTTATTTTAGCAATAATAACATTCAAAATAAAGGGTTTAAATTACTTTGTGATAGCATTGTAAATCAAAATTCACCTTTGACAATTTTAATTGTCTGGAATAATAACTTGAATCATGAGTGTTCAGAATGTTTATCAAACTTAATGGTAATTATATATTTATAAGGAAAACTCCGAAATTTATTAACTGTTTACTAGGGAAAATAATATTATTATAAAAAAAAAAAAATGCAATTTTTCTAAGCATAATAGTATATTAATAAATTATATTTATTTAATTTGTAGGGGTCAGAAACTAAATTAGAAATGCTCAATGTTGGGTTTAATTGTTTACTTGACACTACAGCTAGTGCTATTCAAATACCATTGAAGAACAACAAAAATTTGATACGCTTAGGATTGCAAAGCACCCAAATTACTTGTGAAGGAGTTAAACATTTAGCAGGAGCACTAGAAGCCAATACTTCTTTACAAGTAAGTATCCGTTAGAGTTTACTCACAATCCTTTAACTAAATACTAACTCATTTAAAAATCTATATTATTTTTAAGTAAATGTAGTTTATTAGATGTTTATATAGAATTAAAATTCATTTGTACAACAATTATTTAGTATTTAATAATATGCTAATCATAGAATATATTATAAGCTATAATTTGTTATTCATGTGATAGATATTACACACAAACCATGGACAAATAAAAATTAATTTCTTAACATTTCTTCTACACTAATCAAAGCCATTTGATATATCATATTCAAGAATTACATTTTAACTTACCATCAAAACAAAAAAAATAATTTATTATTAATTATTATAACTAAAAAATTGTAAAAGTTTTGAATTATCTATTTTTATTTATCATAAACTTAGAATGAATATCTCTATTCTAAAAATTGCAAATACAATAATAATAATGTTTAAAAATGTTTTTAAACTTTTTTTTATTTCCCATAAGTTCTTTTATAATTTAACTTAAACATTAAACAATTTCTATTATTATAGTTGTATACTCTATCTGCATATCAATCACATGGATAATATTATGTACCTGTTAGATGCTAGTATTGTAAAGTATTAAGCTCCTATAGTGTATAAGGATAATCAAATTAAATGTTGTTATTATAACTTAAAATTTTTTTTCAAAAAAAGTAGTCTTTGTTTTGTATTTAGAACCTTGTTATAGTTATTATTAATATCTTTAGATATGTTAACACATTTTAAACTTCCTTATGTATTGTAATATTGTTCGCTTTTGCAGAGATTAGATTTACGTGATAATAATATTGAAGTTGAAGGGCTGAGAAATTTGAAAGAGTCCATTTCAAAAAATTTTAGAATTACACGCCTAGATTTAGATCCTCTGCCACGTAACAAATATGCAGCTGTAAGATATTGTTTTTTTCATTTTATAATAATATTAATTTTAATGCATTTTCTTAATTGTGTAAACAACTATTTTAAATTATTTATTTATTTACTGAATTTAGGATACAACTAAAGAGTATACAAATTTAACGGAGCAGATCAAACAAATGTGTGAAGAAAATGAAAAAAAACATAGTAGTAAACAAATTGACGACAATCTACTTGACCAGATTGCAGATGAGTCTAATGTAACAAGAGCTATCAAAATACCAAATGTAGATTCTAGAAAGATATCTCTTACATGTGAATCATTAATGATGCAGTATACTTCACTTAAAAATCCCAATTATCTTGGTTCAGACGATTACTTGCCTATGTTGCGAGGAAGTAGTGGTCGATTAAGAAGTCCTGCTCCGAGTCCAATACACAGCCCAATTGCTAGTAGTCCAATGTGCAGTCCTTCAATAGCATCCACACGTAATCGTTTCCATGTGTCAAAAGTATCCGAACAAAAACAAAAAGAATGTCGATTTAAAGTGACCAAATTGAACAATTTGAACGATAAAGCACCAACGGCAAGTAACGAGTCATTATCTGATGATTCTTTTGGTCCTACCAATTTGGAACTCACAGTTGATAGTTTGGATTTGTGCAAACATAAAAATGATACCAAAAAAGAAGATCAAAGAACTAGGAAAGTGTCTTGGGTTATGGGCTCTCGACCTTTGTTGACTTCTTTGCAAAACATCACCACGAGTTTGGATCAAGCCACCTCGTCTGGAGTTGACAAACTTCTCAGTTTATTCAGTCCTTTTTCTAGCGCAGACAAATCATCAGCGTCTATCGACACAGTTGAATCTAATGATTCTGTTTTTGAATCGGACCCTGAATCAAAGAAACCAGTTACACTGGATCAAGCAACTTGGCCACCAGTATTTGGAAGCTTGAAAAAAACCACGTCCATCTGCAGGCCACTATCAGATAAAGGTAGACGTAGTCTAAGCGATTTGCGTACTTTTTAAATTTGAAGTTAAAGAGGTAGTGACTAGTGACCATACTTAAACAATAATGCAAGTAGATCAAATGCGTTCAAGTTGTTTATTTATAATGTGAGGTCTCTCCTTCAACCCAAATCTCGTTTACAGTAGTATCTTTTACAAACTACATTGTGATTCACAAGCACATGAGTACAAATTTTGTTTTTATCATTGTTGAACAATTTATAAATATTTATGGAATCGTTTTTAGTTGTTAGTGCTATATGTTTAGTTTAAACACACCCTCTAATCAAACATACAACTACTGTAACGAGAATTCACGCAACGATTAATTTCATTATCTGGTGTACAAACAACTACGGACTTGAAACCATTAACAATATGATTAAAGAATATTATTAGTTTCTGATAATGTAAACATTGCTTAAAATTATATCAGAATTTATACATTTTAATTTAAAACCAAATTTAATATTTTGCATTCTAAATATATTGAACTCAAATATAATATTATACAGGTGAATGCAATTTCTCTGTGACAAATATTACTAAGTTTGGTTTTTATGAATTGGTTTCTTGTCCAGTGATGTTTTAAATTTATGAACTGGTCTCAGTATGATTAAAATGTATTTTTAGGTACTTATAATGTGTATAATGACATTGATATAATATTAAAAGTTACCAACCAGTGTTTTAAACAAATGGAACAAAAAGATAATCATATTATTGTTATATTATGTACGTGGCTAGTAGGTATCTTTTCTGTAATATTTAAGCACAAATTTTTTGAATTTTATAGGTTCTTGAGTTCACTATCCAATTCTTTGTATTTTAAATTGAATCAAAGTATTATGTTGGTACTTCTCAACTTGTGTTGTTTAAGTAATCTAATCGTTAGAAGTGCAATAATCTATGTCTGGATCCGTCATTTAAGGCACAAAATGTTTTCAGACATTTGGGAATTAATAATTAGCATGAATTTGTATGCAGAATCACATTAAAAATGGTTTTTTATTAGTTTGTTTATTTACAGAAAAACTTTGTTACAGTTATATATATTATTTTCTATTTTTCTTCTTTTTCCGAATTCTTGGATGTTTTTATTGACTGTGATTTTTATCTTGGGTTTTTCTTTGTGATAATTGTTTTTAATGATCATAAAAATTATTAATAAATAAATATATAATAGGTATACTGTTTTTTTTTCGTTATATCCATTCAGTTACTTAAATTTTATTAAAATGAAAATATTCCAAAGACTGACATTTTCCAAACAGTATTTGGAAAGACTTAAAAGTCAATTTATTCACTAAAAAAAACTTAAGTCTCATAATATCATATATTTCTTTACAGGTGCCATTTTCTTTTACTTTATATAATGTTTAAGTCCAAACTAGTTGGAAAATATTGTTACCAAATTTACTATCAGATAATTATTAAATAGTAGTTAGTCTATATAATTACATTAGAGTTATTTATAGTTTAAAATATATTATATAATATTATGAACGTAGCTTTAGCGTACTTAACTTAAGAGGTTTATTAATTTTTCTATTATGTTTTATAATATTGAACGAACATGTGTTCTTATAATGAATAATGTTGCTATTTATGTTTATGACCTTTGCATTTAAAATTAACGCTCTTGTCGCGACATGTTTATATAATATATAATTTTATGTTGTTATTTACATATTATTTTTTTGTTATTTCGAAAGAAGAAAAATAAATACTATGTTAAACTACGTCCTTATTAGTTTTTAAAATATTACAAATTTATTAATTTACTTAAAGTTTATTGTAAACATACACTATACACACACATATAATATATAAAAACATACATATTAATTTCTGTTATTTTTATTTTTTTATGGGGGTTGTCTAAAATTAATGTAACGGACAATTTATTATAATATTTAAACAGATTAAATCTTATCGTTATAATATATAAATATTTACTCTGTAGAAAAAAATCCTTATAAATATATATTATATTTATTTATGGCACACAACTTGTATTGTGAAATCACGTGTGTCAAAATTAAAACAATTTATCAGAAAATGTTTTCAAGTCTGTGTATAATACAACACTATAATGTAATATTGGAAAATAATAATAAAGAAAAAATGTAGATTGTTACTCACTGTTCTGGTTGTTTTATTGTTTGTGCTAGTATGTCTATTGCTCTTATAAGCGGAGATATTTAAAACTATTGGGATTTTTTACTTTTAACTGACCCCAAACGTGATGAAAGACAAAAATTAAATAAAAACATCACTGTAAAATCATACATTCAGAATCTAAAAATTTAAACCGTGATTTGACGTATAAATATCCTAGTTTATCAAAATTTATATTTCAGATTTGCATAAAAAATGTTTGTAGAATTAATGTCCCTACACGGTACACACTGCAGCTGTAGTGGTTACGGCAAAATTAAGTCTGACACAATTTTACCACCACCGCTGCAATGTGTGACTGTTTTCTTATAAGTAAGGACCAGATGGCAGATTTATATGCAAATGCATATTCCTATTAGAAATTGGAATAAGCTTTTTGAAATCTGATGAGAATTGTCTCCAATTTAGATCATTCTTATTAAAATAACACAAATTTTATTTTACATATTTCAAAGTTTTTACCTATTAAATGCATATTATGAGTTTACAGTGTGTATTATTATTTATAGCACGTATATTTGTTTTTCATCGTATTTTCTCGTTCACGGCCACATAATATCGATAATATTACGACCAGTCTTTACTGCCAAGAATAAGATGACATACTCTTATGCGATGTATATCATAATACGTAGAACTTAGTGAAGACGACAAAATACTTTTATGTACATTTTTAATTACTTAATTAAGTAATAGTTTTTTCTTCCATAATTTTTAAATGAACATTTTTTCGAATCAATTTTAAGTGCACATATTGTAGAATATTACAGAACTTTTAGAAGCATATTTTGAGAATAACTTTTTGTGCATATACATCTGGCCCCTACTTATAAGTAAAAGTTATGTGAAATCATGTATTACATTTTCAAAACTTAGTTATAACTTATCAATATTAACAATTTTACATATTTTATATTTCTAATATAATATTAGAAAGAAACCTTACCTTGTAGAATTACACTCAGCATTTAATTTTAATTCTTTCACAAGCAATTTACAAAAAACCTTAAATTTGTGTTAAATTTTCAAGCTTTTGATGAAGCGTAATTTTTTTAATGACATTTATAGATATAAAGCTAAATACATTAGGTATTGAAAATTCCAAATGTCTATAAATAACTCAAAGATAGTAAAAATATATTGAAAATTTTACAGTGTATAGAAAAAGCTATTTATATTAATATATATTTCAGGTATCTAGCCATTAAATTTAAATAACAAAAAAAAATGTTCTCTTAATATTACATTTATTCAAATTAGAAATTTTAAGTTTACTTAAAGATCATATTTTCTAATTTCTCATATTTTTTGTCCTGTGGCTATACAAACATGTATTATTCAAATGAAAACCTTCTTTTTTGTACTGCAAATTATTTAGAGAGTAATTTTCTTGAAAATGTTGATGTATCTAAATCAAAATTGTAATAACTAGTATCTGAGTTAATGAGTTATTGACTATTGAGTACTTAAGTACTAAGGATAATAATGTTTTTACAAAAGTATAAGCTATAATATTAGATGTAAAATACTTGGATCATTTATACAATTTTTTTATATTAATGGATAAATAGCAATTACTAACATTTTCATATCATCTAAGCCTCCAAATCTACTTACCCCTTAACCAAAGACATTTTATACACAAAGTATATAATTCAAAAACTACTCATTCGAATTGTGATTTAGTTGCATTAAAATTCTCACAAAAAATATCTGCCGAGTAATTAAAAGTGAAAAAAAGGGGAAGGGGTCCTATTTGAAAAACAGAAGTTAGTATTTCACAGGACCTTAAGGTACAAAAACTCTGAAGTATTCAAAAATGTGGTATCCATGCATAGACGTAAATATGGGGGGGGGACTTGGGTGAGCTTAGCCCACCTAAAATAGTAAAGGGACAAGGCCACAAGGATATAGTCCAACAACCCCTTCCCTCTTTTAAACATTTGGCATTCGTGTAGCAGGTGATCTACTACCTCTTTTTAGGTGTATCAGGTGATCTACCATACTATACAAGGTGTAATTGGTGATCTACAATTATTATATTATATAATATACTATTATTATACGCACATTATCGCAAACCGCAGTGGGACAGTATTGCGATAATGATTAATGACATTTGCAATATTATGACTACGAGTCATTAGCATTGTTGCTGGATAGGTTAGTTTAAAATATTGTTCGTTGGCCGGGGTTTGTCTGTAATGCATGTGTCTGAATTGTATAAAATAATTTTACAAAATACAGGTTATAATCTTGACTGTAAACCATTCTAAAAACTTTGTCGACCCGCTAACAGCAGCCAACACCCAGACAATAGAATGCGTTTGGTCACATCTGAAAATGAAAATACTTCGAAAAATGCATGGCACTACATCGGAACTTTTACCTCGTCATCTGATTGATCCTAAAAATACTTTTTTTAAATTTATAAATGATACTAAAAACGTTTACTGTAATTGAAATTATTATTATATTTAGCTAATTATTTTTTATTTTTATATTTGACGAATATTTGTATGATATGGCGTACTCGTAATAAAAAATATGTGTTTTTATACTATTAAAACGTAGATCACTCGTCCCGAATTCGCAGATCACCCCTCCGCGGTAGATAACCTGCTACACGAATGCCAAAAATTTTAACTATGGGCTCGAGCCCACTCAATTTAATGGCTCTAGTTACGTCTATGTAGTATGTATCCATGACTATGTAAAAATTCCAAAAATCAGAATTTAAATATTTGTCTAATTTAGCATAAATATAGGGTGAGCATGCCTTAAACTATGTATTAACAGGGTGCGATTCATTAAGACGTATAGTTATTCCTCATCTCAACCTTACTTTTTCCAAATCAAATCGATAATTCAATTTTTGACTTTTGAAAATTTTTAGTATAATCAAAGAATGAAAAAATATTTTCATATACTAACTTATTTTTTTGTAATGTGAATCACCTTTTTTATTGTAAGTTGTTAACGAGATCAATTTTTTGAAAATGTTTTTGTATATAAATCGAAATTCAAACTAAATGTTTCTGGTTACTATGTCAATTCAATTCACTCTGATATCAGAGCCAGCAATAAAAAATTGACTTTGCTGAATACCGCTGGCACGGAATGTAGTAGGTTTGTAAGACGGAACCATTTTTTGAGGATTTGGTGACCTCTTTTATCAAAAAAAATTTGACCAAAAACTGTAAAAGTATAATTTACTGTTTTTGACATAAGTTGGAAGTGAACTCAATCTTAGGAACTTAACATGTACACTAGACCAGCTGATATATACTCTTATTAAGTAATAATATTTGATATTTTACTGTTATATAAACAGTGTTCCCAGTTGAACACTTATGGACAATAATAATCAAATTCAAATCAGTCAAATTTAATTTACAGATTTTACTATATAGAAACTGTTACATAAAAAAAAATTTTTCACCATTAAAAAACTAAGAGTAATATATTATAATATATCATTTAAGCTATTTCAGAAGTCATATGCGATGAAACACTTTCAGGAATATTTTCTAAAAGTACCTGCAACAATTTTTTTTAATATTTATGATTAAGAAGAGTTTAAATTTGTTAAGATGAAAATAACTCACTTTGGTTACTTTAAGTGCAACTCCTTCCGGTAAATTTCTTTGAACATACTCCAAAAAGGTTTCTGCAGTGGAACCAGTCAGCTTATGGAAATGAATGAATCTAAACCAAGTTCTTACTTCATACTGTACTCTACACCTTTTATGGACGTGAATAGAACGTAATAGTGTGTACCGTTCGTGGTGAGCTTTACGTGGGGACCAGCTAAAAATAAAATTGTATATGATCACAACAATTCTCAATAGCGTTTTAATTCTAAATTAAATAATATAATATAACATGATTAAAAAAACGTGATGTGATTGAGAGTAAGTAACGTCTATTACTACTAGTTCCCGGATGGGTAACCACCTGGGTTCATAGTAGCAAATACCTTGTCATACATACACGTGTTGCTTAGCTACCTTAACAACCATAACAGCATTATCGTACCAACCCTAACAACCATAATTCATAATCTATAATCCATAATTTCTATAATTACTGAGCTTAAGTTCAAAAAACTAAGCTAAGTAATTACCTTCACATTAATAATTAAAACCTAAAATATTTTATAAACGTATACTGTGTAAATAATAAATATAGAAATATAGAAAAAAAAAACTATAAATATATCAATAGTCATAATAATCTACATTATTTATTGAACTTAATACGCTATGTAATAGAAAAAATACTAGTTTAAACTTTCCATGATTTTTTTTTTTAATTTATAAAATTATTTGGGTATTTAATGGATTATTTTGTTGAAAGGTAAATATTATGATATTTCATAATGAAGTCTGAAAGTATTTATTTTAAATGATGTCCTTATGTAGGCAAGTCACATATTACCTACATTTTTATATGATTTACATTTTAAATACCTTGTAAGAATACATTTCTGTTCAATTCATAATAAACAGTGTGTTCTGTCTTATATGTACCACTTAATATCTCAGCCGATGCGAACAGATTAAAAACGGTTTGCTGTGATAGATAGGTGCGCCGAAGTGTACATTTTGGGAAAATTTCTACAACTACTTTGGTTTGCGCATGTTACAACTTAAGTTTTTTTGAATAGCAACTTTTATTTTTGACACCAGATATGGCAGATAATTGTTTTTTAGCACATTTTGATCCATTGACCATAATCCTAAACCCAAAATTGACCAAGTTATAGGCTAACAAAGTTTTGAAAGTTGAAAATAATTCAATTTTTCGAAAAGCATGACACACTTGTATTGAGTGGATTTTTTTAATGAATAGGTACATGAAAAATAAATACATATACATACATAATTTTACATACATAGTAATGAAAAAAAAGTAAATTAGGTACTTTATATTATCTAATTTATATTTAAGTACATTTGTTTATCTAATAAAATGTTCAAAATTGCCCACTTTATTTTCCAAACTTATTTCCAGTCGTCAATTACTTTTCTGTGCGTAGTTGCCAAAATTATTTTCAATTTTCAAAACTCTGTTAGCCTGTAACTTGGTCAATTTTGTGTTTAGGATAATGGTCAATAGATCAAAATGTACTAGAAAAAAAATTATCTACCCATATCTGTGTCAAAAAGAAGGGTCGCTATTCTAAAAAACTTAAGTTGTATGCGCGTACCAAAGGAGTAAAAACTTTGAAATTTTCACAAAATGTACACTTCGGTACCACCTATCTATCACAGAAAATCGTTTTTAAATCTAAGGTAACTGGGCTGAGATATTTAGTGGTACATATAAGACGGGACACACTGTATAATGTGTATATTTGGCATAATATAAGAGGGCACCAACTCTTTTTCAATATTAAACTATAAAACTAACTGTTATTTATGCTAAGATTATGTTAAATACAATTAACTTTTATTTATGAAAATAATAACATACCATTTACCGATTTGAATCCCTAGTTCATTTGCAGCCATTGTTGCAAATTGAGTGTAACTCCGTAATACTGCACGATCGTTGCTACGACATTCAAATTCTATGGTCTTGTATAATTTATCTAGTTCATCATTCTAAAGTTGTAAATACATGAAACAAGTTCAGTACTTCAGTTTGCATCGAGGTATGCATGATATTTTAAAAACAACAACGACGACAGTGATGAGTTACCTCTAATCAATGAACACTATTAATCGCTGATCTATTATTACAATATTTATTACCTGAGCAGTAATAGACGCCAAATCATTTTGGTGGATATTACTCTCCTCTGATCTTAGTGGTTTGACGCAGAACGATCTTGTCGATAAATTAAAATAAGAAGGGCACAACGCCGAAGTTTTCCTACTGTTCAACAATAAGGTTTTCAAGAAAGTAGTCATTATTTCTTGTCGTCGTCACTCGCCGAATACTGAAAATCATTCACACGAGTACAAGACTCAAGTAGCTAAGTAGAAGTTAAAATATGCTACGACTTATCTTATCTTTTGATTCTTTATACTTATCAATTAATATATATCTTTTTTATAGATTAATAAATAAAATTGTCTATGATATATTATTAATTCCTTATCACTTATCTGTTGTCATAAGTCGGTTAAAGACACGAATTAAGATATATCTTTAACCGTGAGTCCAATCATGAACTAAGATATAGTTCATGTCCGCCAGAATGCGCGTCGGACCGTAATGATGTCGTTTTTACATATTGTACAGCATAGGGAATTTATTGGTTTTTTAATATTATATTCTAAATGGTTAACTTATGAATAATTACTATAGAACATTTTTTTAAAACCAAATGGCCCTCGATCGAATATAAGTGTTTCCAATAATATACGACTTTATAAAAAGATTATAGTTTGTCTCTTTTTATAAAAGTCGTATATTATTGGAAACACTTATATTCGATCGAGGGCCATTTGGTTTTAAAAAAATGTTCTATAGTAATTATTCATAAGTTACACCATTTAGAATATAATATTAAAAAACCAATAAATTCCCTATGCTGTACATGTAAAACGACATCATTACGGTCCGACGCGCATTCTGGCGGAATGCGATAATTCCGGACCATGTTTTTACGCTTCGTTCTGCCGTGTTCGGCGTCCTTCCTCTAATGTTCATGTATATATCTTAGTTCGTGGTTAAAGATATCTTTAACCGTGAGTCCAATGCACGATTTAGAGAAGATAAGGTGATACCAGTGATAGCAACGAGAGCTTCCCAGCAGCAGATTTTTGGCATCCTTATCACGCGCGCTGCGCCCCTAGTGATTTATTCCACAATTTGACTTCTGTGATCATCGTAGCGATAAGTGATAACAAATAAATGATAATTCCCGGTTTTTCATTTTTGTCATTATCTGCCAGACGCCCAGACGCCACTACGCCAGTCCATGGCTAAAATGTATAATAATATATTACTATATTAATAAGACGTTATAATATTATTTTAATGATAATTATTTATAACAACCAAGGTGGATCTATATTTGATTAATGAATCTATATTAAAAAAAAAAAACCATGATAAAAAATTGTATTCAATAAAAATAATCTAAGTAGAATAGAAAAGAATTGTATTAAATAAAAAAGCCTAGGTGATTAAAAAATCTATAAAAAAAAGCCTGAGTAAATCACCTATAGTTAATAAAAAATATTAATTTTTAATAAACAATCTAAAATAAACTAAAATAACTATCTATACTGATAAAAAATATTTAACATATATAACATAATAATATAATATAACATAAAGGTTATAATATAACATATTCCTTCAAAAATGTTGCATTCATGTTTAATATAATAGCTCTCTGCTCTATTCTTAAATCCGCTAGCTACCAATTTGTTTTTAAAATTATTATGATGTGAAATTATTTATGATTTTTTACTAAGGTTTTTTGTCAAGATAGACTTTTTATTAGATTAAGATTTTTTCTATTCTACTTACGTTATTTTTTTTATTGAATACAATGTTTTATTTATTATTAGATTGCTATTAAAATTGATTTTTTTTTATTAACTAAATGTAATTTACTCAGGTTTTTTTTATAGATTTTTTATTTAACTAGGCTTTTTTATTCAATCAAGATTATAATGGTAAGCTTGGAAAAATATTTAATTACAATATTGCGTATAACCTAAAAAAAGCTTAGTTGAATAAAAAATCTATAAAAAAACCTTAGTAAAACACCTGTAGTTAATAAAAAAAATCTATTTTTAATAAACAATCCATATTAAATAAAAAACTTAATAGACAACTGTATTTAATAAGAAAATATTCTAAGTACAATGGAAAATATCTTGATTGAATAAAAAATCTGTCTTGACAAAAAATGATTTTATTGTTTTTGGAGGGGAGGAAGGTCGTGCGAATTTTCAAACCAGGCGTGCGAATTTGTGCGAATTACGTGCTAACTATCGGCAGAAGAAATTTGCAAAAATGTTAATTTGGACCTCCGGGGGGGCTGTCGAAACGTTTGCCCAGCCCCCCCCATGAATTTTTGTTTTTCTAGGGGAAGGAAGGTCGTGCGAATTTTCAAACCGGGCTTGCGAATTCGTGCGAATTACGTGCTAAATATATGTATAGTTTGTTTACAGTTTTTTCCTTTGGGGGGGGGGGGGGGGCTGGCAAAACGTACGTCAATAATTATACACAGCTTATGAAAATGCCAAAAAACAAACTAATATGCGAGCAACGCCTTGTCTGGACAGCTAGTTATATTATTTTAATAGGTACACCAAATTTTTTTATTATCACCTATAAGTTAAAAGATTAAAGCCAACCAAGTACCAACATTGTATATACAAAAAGTTATTTAAGCATACATCATAATCTGCTCCTAGTCCATTACCTAAGTCAAAACCTATTTTCACTCATCTAATGTAGACTTAAGCATTTGACCCAAACATTAATGCCAAATAAAAATAATTAATAATTTCCCAGGTAACGGCATCAAGTCCTACCAAAACTGTTAAATATACAGCGTTCATATTGTATTAACTAGACTAAATATTATGCATTTTATTTATTGACATTAGCAGTACTTAACAAATTTAAATTCTAAAAAATAAGTGCTTTATGTCTTGATACTATCATTTGTTAACTATAATATTTAGGCTGTTGTCTGTTGATATATTCTACATTTTAACTACGTAGTAAGTGAATTATTATAAAATCAAATAACAAGAAAATGCATTAAAAAATTATGTGTTTTATTAAATAAAACTGTTAATTTATGGCAAAATAAAGTTACAATATTCTATTGATACTTGATTACATAATATATTTTTTATAGTAGTAAATTTTATAAACTAAGCTAAAATTACCAAAATATATATTTTATGAATAATGTCGTGCCTATTTAAATGCACGGCGGCGGGCGGACGCTTTATTTTAAATATAAAACCGGGAATTATCATTTATTTGTTATCACTTATATGTTATATGCGCGTGATAAGGATGCCAAAAATCTGCTGCTGGGAAGCTCTCGTTGATAGCACAGATATATATATAATATATATTATCATAATATTATTGATATTATATATATCAGCCATGAACTTTAGAATTTAGATGTCGTTTTTACATATTGTATAGCATAGGACATTTAATGGTTTTTTGAGAAAAACAAGACCAAAACTAGTTCAGTACGTTGAAAACTGTGGTCACAGGAATTTTTCTAGTGAAATATGTCGATCAAGTTTGCCGCCGCCAAGTGCGAAATCCTTCCCGTCATCCAAGAGTTTTTGGAAGGCTAACTGGCCGGTGATAATTTCCTCAACTCAATTGTTACTGGAAATGAAACTTGGATTGCACACTATACGCCTGAAACCAAGAAACAGTCCGAACAGTGGTGTCACACCACTCACCCACAACCAGAAAGTTCAAAACCACCATTCCAGCAAAAAAATCATGGTCTCAGTGTTTGGGACCACAAAGGCATCATATTTATTTAATTATATACCTCAGCGGGAGACCATCAACGCAGCAAGGGATTGTGATTTAAAAAAAATTGAGGAGAGCGATTCAAAATAAAACGAGGGGTCTGTTAACAAGCGGAGCCTGCCTTCTGCAAGGTAAATGTCACGAAGCAATTGCTGGACTCATTTGGATGGGATGTTTTGAACCACCCTCCGTTTCCCCCTGACCTGGTGCCATCAGATTATCGTTTGTTCAATAATTAATGTATAAAAATGTATAAAATTAATAATAAATAATATAACAACAAACACCTTTAGGAGGACCAATAAATTATCTACTTAAAAATAAAATAAAATTGAAAAACCCTTGGTGAACTGAATAATGTTGGTTTTTTTTTTTATTGTTCAGTTTAAATCTTTTAGCCTCAATAGCATAACCTGTTTTACACCCAGGAACAAAACATTTTTAACTATTTTCACAACAAAAGACAATTGAATATATAAAAACAAGCTTTCAAACTTTAACATTATTCAAAAACATTGAAGTGGTGGTAAGTTATCTTTCCCTAACTCATGACCTTAGTCATTGGATTGCCTCGTAAATAATTTTATTGCTGGTATTTCAAGAATAAATTCAAAGAGAAATATGTGTTTTTTCTTGTGTGTGTGTGTGTGTGTATGTGTTCACCTTTTGAGGCGATAAAAGTTTTTCGATTTTCTACTTCTGCATATTTTCTTGTAGGAAGTGAATCTAGTTGGTACTTTGGGGGTAAAAAGTAAAATATTCAAATAGTATTTTAAAGCGTCGGGAAAACAAAACAAAAAATTAAGAGAAAACTGAGGTTTTTATGTAAAACCAGTTTTCGACAAATTGGATTTTAATTTTTAGTAACTCCTAATCCTAAAGATAGGTTGGTATAAACATTGAGACAATATTACGTTTTCAATGAATGTTTGTGTTATCATTTTCTATACACCATACAATTTTCAAAAACGTTTAACTTTTTTGAGTTATTTATATAGACATCGGATAATATCGATTTTTATTAGTTTTTTTTAAAAACATTTTTGATCTTTCAAAAAACTTGAAAATAAATGCAAGGTTGGTTCCTGAAAGTTGTTGGTGGAAATTAAAAAATGAATTGAAAGGAAATCCACAATATTTTTTTATGAACGTCGGAAGTAAGAATTTTCAAAAAATTATGAAAATATGCAAATTATTTTAGTTAGAAATCCATAAAATAATGTATTTATTTGAATAAAAATTTAAAATTTAATACAAAATTCCTCAATAAGGTTCCTCAATGTCAAATTAATTAAGTTTTTTTTTTATAGAAATTTCAATAAAATGTTGATCGTTGGGTCAAAAATTTTATGTTTTTTTCATAAGCATAAATGAACGTCTAAAAAAGGTGGGTAAGTGGATGTCGCTCTGCTGTACAGCAGGTTACAAG